TATAGCATTTGCTGTTAGAATCTTCAATGATATAAATTGATTACCTCAGTTTACGGTCGACTTTACTGTTATTGTAAAGGTTTAAGCGTTCGATGGAGATAAAATTTTATGGTGCGTTATATCTTGACTATGTTCGTAGGTATAAATACCGAGAGATAAAATTAGAAGTTTTATTGGAACGTATCATACACTTCATCATACATACTTAATACTATTATAAAACAGTACCAGCTCACACGTCCCCACTGAAGGGCTCGGAGCCCACCCTAAGTTAGGGTGACTAGGCCATAGTCAACCACGTTGGCCCACTGCGGGTTGACTACACATATCTTTGAATTTCGTCGCGGATATGTGTAGATTGCATCACATTTTCCTATACCGTAAGAACGTCGGGTAAAGTACATATAAAATTCGAAAAATTGAAAATCATTGGTATATGGCTGGATTCGAATCCAAGAATTGTGGATTACAAGTCAAGTGCTCGAACCCCTGATCCACCGACGCTTCCGACTGTAATTCGAAAGTATTAGGACCTGTTCCACCACTGGCTGATAGAGGCTCAGATAGCTTGAAAAGGACGTCATTGTCAGATAAGGTAACAAAATCCGATACTTCCATCACATATTTTACACGTTGGATTGTTATCAGATAATTTACAATTTAGTGGAACAGACCCTAAACGTATAGATGAATGTTTGTAGTAACATCGTAGTAACGATGCGTTTAGAAATCTAAAACGGCTTGACTGTTATCGACAGTTGGCACAAATGTAGAACACAGTTTGGAAGAACACATAGGCTACTCAAGTTTTAATGCCGCGCGAACGAAATCGTGGGCAAATGTAGTAAATGCACATTTCAAAAACTTACGTAAATCGTGGATAAAAGCTAGTAAAAATAATTTTTCTTTTCGTACTCTGGCTGGAAAATGTGACCATGTTTTACTTTTAATTAAAATTTATGTCCGCAAGCTGTAATCTTGAAGTTTATTTTAACAAATTCAAGATTTATTTTTAACTTTGTAATGTGAAATTAAACTTTTCTTTAATTTTCTCCAAATTAACAGTCGCGAAGTTTGCAAATAAGTATGAGGTTATGTGAATACATATGTATGTAAAGGCGAATAAAGTTAAAGATAAAATGTTCGTTGTCTCATTTTATTGAACTGTGTATAACTGAATTTAAAACTAAATAAGAGTATTGAACCTGAGTATATTTGTCTGTATATGTAATTCATTTTACTACCTGTTTCTCGTGACTTCGTTCGCATGTCATTAAAAAATATAGTCCATGTTACTCACAGATAAATTACCTTTCTAATAGTGAAATAATTTTTAAGCTCAGCAGTTTTTACGTGAATCAAATACACAAATTAAAAAAGTATAGATTAATATAGTACTAACAGACAGTTTCATGATATGAACAGTAATACGCTAGATGAAAACCCAACTGACTAATTAAACAAAGGCTTGCTCATTACGTAGGCGTTATAATTAGAAAAGCCCGAATGAGAAATAAATGAAACTGAGGCTGCGGTTTTTACAGAACGTCGGATGTGGGCCGGCATTGTATTGTGCACGAACACTGTTAAATAATACAGAGTTCACTGCAATAGTAATGTACCAACTGAGACTATATGTATGAAATACTAGCTATTGCCAGCGATATCATCCACGCCATACTAAAATAAAAAAGTAGCCTATAATATGCCTGTCTATGTCAGATACCTTTCAGTCCGTTTAGTGAAATTTCTAGTTTATTTTATCGTTACCAATTGATTCATTAGTGTTTGCACTAATTTTCAGTAGAATAAAACACAATTTACATATTTCGGAAACCAATTTCATGAAGTTATCAAAACAAAAACACTAACGAATGGTTAAATGTAGCTGGGAAACCGGCCATAAGTTATAATGTAAATTAACAGTAGCTGTAATTGTTAAACCATCTTACTGCCCTACTGATAGAAGGGAATTTTAGTATAAACTTTCTCTTTTCCTATTTAACTAATGTTACTTCCGAAATATTAAAAGAAATTAAAAAGCGATTAACTTTCGTATCATAAATAATCAAAAAGTAATTAGTCAATTTGTAGTCTATTCTGTATTTTTTAAGCAATTTGTTTCCATTAAAATTAAAAAAAAACCTAATGTCTATTAAAATCGGTCTACCATTAAATATTTAAATTGACTTTGTTATTAATGATCGGTGGAGCGGTAACTTTCGTCGGGATGCTACTTTATTATAATGCTGACCTACCTTCTACAAACAATGGACTTAATGACTCGAACAAAAGGTGGGTTTTCACTGGAGAACGCATCGCTTTTGTAAGGTTTAAGTAATACCTACAGGATCTTATATCTTGAGATTGCAGGATCAACTTTCAAGTAGTGTCTCAATTTTGACTTGAGTACTAATACCTAATATGAGTATGATATTTTTTGAATTTTCTTAAATCTTTTTTTTTTTTATTTCGGTTATGAATACATTTCATTTTAACAGTGGCAGAGCCCGCTTTAACATCTTCGCACGAATGGGTCAGCTCACCACCAGCAATACCACAACCACACAGAAGACAGGAGTGAAGTGGGAGCAATTCCGCTTTTGGTCTGGTAAGTGGTCCAACTATAACGGATGCACACTCTTTTCCTTCCCACCTATTTACTTATAAATAAAGGATGGGAAGGGAACGTGGATTTGACGGTGGGGGAGACGCATAGAAATGGAAAATATCCTTATCATATGCGTTTTCTCCCCCGTCGATTAAATGTAGGCAAGGCATCCGCTATTGTCTATGGGCAGCGGTCGCTTGACCATTTCGGCGCCAGGTGGCCGCTTGCACGATTGCCACCTTATAATGTAAAGATACCATGATTTTCTCAAATATTGTTCCATACTATCCAATATTGAATTAATCATTTTTTTTATTGTAAATTCTTGTGTTCATAGATATAATGAATTTTATGATTTTTAATAATATATTCGTACGTATTCCTGAGCTTAGATTTAGGTAAAAGCTTTCGCTTAGCATTTTAATGCATTTCAACCGCAACGCAGAAGTTTTGCACGTCATATGCAGGTGTTACTCGAAGTTACCGCTAAAATTTATAGGAGAGCCTGAATAAATGGAAATTTACTCCGCTTAGATATTAACGTTTGCGATATAAGTACGATATAATATTGTTTACTTATGCAAATTCTCTAAATATTTTCAAGTATAATCTAGAACTAATATGGAATGCGTTTACATTTATAAAACATTTACTTTGTCTCTTTACCTATCCTCTTTCTTTATATTCATAACATTTAAAATTTTGTACTTTTAGTCAAATACTTCGTTTTAACGATTATTTCAACAAGAATTTCCCATGACTCATAAACAATTGATAAATAAATATAACAACGGTAAAAACGATACGAAATTCAATACTTTTCTAAGAATACTGTCAACACAGGTTCAAAGTAAATGGCGGATATAAAATGTATAAGCCTTTTTTGCGAAGGAAATGTATATTTCAAGTATCTTATTCATGTAAGAATATTGAGTGCTGGGATTTCTCAATATTGTTCCCTTTGCACCTCTCCCTTAAAATATGCGAATAAATTTTGACGTAATTTCATCAAATAAGGGTAGAAATCCGTGTGTATTTTAAAAAATATTTTTATTTATGTACATAAACATTAAACACTAGCTTTTTCTTTTTCATCCGCGTGAATTTCCATAACAATGAGTACAAATTTCGCAATACTTGTGAAAAATTTTGCCAATGACTAAGCTAGAGTTGTGTGGGCACAGCTCCGTGTAGTACCAACCCGGAGTGGACTAGCGTGGTTGACTATGGACTTGTCCCTCTTACTTAGGGTAGGCTCCGAAACCCTTATTGGGGCCGTATAGTGAGCTGGTAATGATGAAGGCGGACATCGAGTCGGTAAGTATCTACCATTACATCTTTCCTCAATCCCTTGTTTACAATGGTCCGGTTGTTTACAATGGCTCACTCCGGTTCATGAGTACTTTAAGGGCAGGTTGTGCTGCAAGACACGTTATGTTCGGCGCATAGATTGTGTAAACCAGGTACAGCGTGTGAAGGAAGTGAAGTTGGGTAATATGTATGGACGTATAGAAGGGTAAAGATTTTGAGGATCCTCCGTATGACCAAAGATGGACAGGATGGTTATCTATTTTTTGAATCAAAATAGAAATTACGCGACTTCTACGTTCATTTTTTTCTAAATTAACCTGAATTCATGATATCTTAAATATAATTATTGTCATAAAAGCTCGATTTAAAGAATTATCTTATATTCGCATTGTATACGTCAACAGAAGGCGTGCTATGGATGCAAAACGATTTATCTCTTGAATAAAAATTGCCATCCATTACGTGAACACGCTTCCTGAACGGAGCGGCTGTTTAAAATTATTTGTACGTCCCTCGTTTAAGAACGGTAGAATTTCTCATTGGTTTGTGAAAGATTTGTTTTTCATTGCGAGAGTAAAAATAAAAAGGGAATGCGTTTGTGGTTAAAATATTTTTTATTTTTCTTGAACATTGCAACTAACCTAATTGTTATTTGCAAAAATGAATGCAAAGTAATTCTTGCTTTTAAAGTAGAAAGGAATATAATAGAACATTTAGAATATCTCGTATCAATACCGAATAAAAGTAAATTCTCACTTTTTGTCACTTCCTGCAAAACGATGCCGAATACATCTTATTCCGCTTTCTGAAAACTTTTCTCATTACAAAGGAAGCAATAAAAATGTCCCCGTTCTTATACAACTACGATTGGACATTTTTTTTGTAAGAAATAAGGCTTTTTGGCTCAACTGTAATGGATGTTTAATATTTTTATAATTCAAAAAGAAAACTTTAAACAAATCTTTTCGATAAAATATAATCTATACAAATATAATATACAGGAAAGGGAATATAATACCTCAAAAACTGTTATGATTTCAAAATTGTTTCACCATTAGAAAGGTACTTTATTGTTTAGTAACATAGGCTGTGTTTTGATTTTTTTGATTTCACGTGAACGAAGTCTCGGGCAACAGCTAGTAATACCTATTATATCTGAAAACTGAACAATGACATTGAAATATAACAGAGATTAAATGAAATCACGATGTAAGTTTTCCGTAAAACGTTTTTCATGTGTAGTATTTAACACATACAAACATTCAAACATAAGAAACATGTTTTAAATAGGGAAACATGAGTTTTTGTTACTATAATAAAACGCTACCATATTTTATGTGTTAAGCTGGTATTTAATTTGCAAACATCATCGTCAATCACGAGTTCACGAGCAACGTTCGTGTGATTTATACGAAACCGAAAAGAATTACCCGAAAATCCTTTCAATAAGCTCAATGCTTTGTTCGGAAAGCTTTATGGCGGAGTGACCTCGAAACGGATATTTGATCGGAAGGTGCGTGAATTATGGTTTATTCCTCTTCTACTTCGATTTAGTAAAATATAGCCAACCTGTTGAAGGATAATGTTTGCTTTAGTCAAGTAAGACGACGTAGCAACAGTTTTTATTATGGTAAAGTAAAGCCATTTAATTTGTAATTAGTTTCAAGTAATGTTATTTTTTATATTATGTTATTCAGATTGTTTTGTTTATTAAATGGTGTAATTTTAATTTAGTGATAACTAGTATTTGTCAGCGACTACGTCTCGTCTTGGGTTAATAAATAAAATCATTATAAAGTGATTTCGTAGTATGTTACTTAGGTAATAGCTTCCTAATTGCAAAGATTTTTTTTTAATCGTAGCTTTTCAGATTTATTCCTACATAAAAAGTTCTGGTTGAATGATATAAAAACCAGTGAAAAGCTGCAATAAATTATGTGTAGGCGAAATTTAATATATCGAAATGTATCTTGTAACAAAAATCGCTATATCAAATTTTATTCACATCTGTACTAAAATTACAATGAGGAAAGATTTGTATTTTTGAATTTTTCGTATGTATTTGATTCATGTAAAAATTATTGGGCCGATTTTAAAAATACCTTCACCTTTAGAAAGGTAGTTTATCTGTGCGTAACATTGGCTATATTTTTATTACTGTTTATTTCACGCGGGCAAAGTCGCGAGCAACAGTTTCAATTAAAAACGTTAGAAATACCTATGAACGAAGTTTTCCAGAATGACATGATTCGTTGTTTATTTCTCAGTAAACTGGAAAAAACACAATAGAATAAAAACAATAGACGTATTGAATACAAGTAGCAGTAGCCAAGGTCTGCTGTGACAGGTATTATACTGGTATCGTCCGACGTTACACCCACGACGTTCATTCATTTTGTATCTCTTTGTTTTTACGAGTTATATTGAGAAAATTGCAATAGAAATTACTTTCCCATAAACTATATGCTACTGTCATGAATTAGTACATTTTTCTTTCGATATTAATCTTAAAAATAGTAAAGAATACTTTATTTCGATGTGCAACGAATTTACTTACAATTTACTTAAGTAAAGACTACAGTAGATTATAAACAATTAGCTATATTCTAACTTAATGCTAAAGTAACGGTAAAGATTGTTCGTTTTTTTACCTTTTTAAACTAAAGTGAACAATTAAATAAAAGTTTAACTAAAGACCATTTCTATCGTAAAAAAGTGCATTAAAATACTTAAAATACTACTTTATTTTTGATCTCAAGAATTGAATAATGCAATCATTTTACGTGCATCTGGGTGCATATGTTGCAGCCAGTAAGGAGATAATTCCCTTGTCCAGTTCGTCGCCTACGTGTCCTGTTTCCGTAATCCCTGGCATTCGGTGCAGCTGACGCTTGTTAAGATTCCATTCGGGTAAACCATTAGGGAGCTGTCGTTTAATGCCTTCGCACATACCCTTGTTTTACAATTGAAACTTAGAACTATATTCTTAAGAAACTAAGGCTTTAGTACATACTAGCTGTTCCCGTGGCTTCAACTTTATGAAAAATTTCAAATTTATGAAAATCATATTTTAATACTTACATTTGTCAAATTGTCAATTGCAAATGTCGAAATGACATGACTTGATGACAAACTATGGCAATCTTACTTTCTTGTTGTTGGCAGCTTGTAGCTTATGGTCCCTTTCCCATATAAGCATTTTTATCCAATTTATTTACCCTCTAAGTTTAATAGCGTGAAAACATATAGCCTAAAGCGTGACATAAGTGTAGGGCTTTTAATTAAAGAAGGAATTATTCAAAAGTATGCTATGACTGCTGACATCTTACGCCACAAAGTAGTGTGTGTTTACGCTTTATTACATTAGTATAAAAGTATAGATAAATGGGCGTGATAGAATCTCGTTGAGTTAATTCGGCTTGTCGTTGAATAGATTCAACAAAGTACGGTTAAATAAATTATAATACAAAGAAGTTTTGTTTTGTGGACAATACCTTGTGGATTTTCCACTTTAACATCACTTCGTTTCTGACCTTATCTTAATAACGAGAATTAATGCTCTTTTGGTACAAAGTCATTTTTTATATATCATAATCTCTAACTGTTTAACATTGTTGAAATGTATAACAATATCTATTTTATCTTGGACTCCTTGTTTAACTAAATAGTAAATGTAGATTATAAAAAAGCACGTCTAAAGTTATATTTAAAATGCCACAATAATACTCTGTGGTAGAACTTCACGAAGTATTTTAAAACAATATATTGCACAGCGAAGCCATTGTTTGTACAATAATGAATAAGAAATTGCATTCATTTCGCGGAAGATACTCAAGGCAGCCTTTTATTGGAGCGTATTGGCTTTCAGTTTGTCGAGTGAAAGAAAGTGCGCGATATAACGAAGATAATAAAGAATAGGGTATCTTATATCTTGTATTAGCAATTCATTGTTTTTGAATTCGAAAATTCTGTGTTAACTACATAGTACTATTTTACATTATAAAGGCGGAAATACACATGCCAATAAAACTGCGTAGTAGGTGACATCCAAGCAACTGGAGCGTCCTGTAGCTGTCTTCCAAGTGTATCATAAACTTACATGTGTATTCCGGGCCTTATATAACTTTTTAAACTTTACGAAAAATTTCTATCAAAAGACTACAAGTATAAATTGTCACAAAATTCGTTCATTAACAAAATATATGAAGCAACAAAATTGTAGGAACGATTTCTAAAAATTCTATTCTAACGCGGGAATATCTTGTGTATAGATTAGTCCAAAAAATCTACAGAGGATATTATCTCGAAAATTTCTCACATAAAGCAGATGCGAGACGCTGTTACGTATAAGTGAAGAAGTTTTTTCCTCGTTTAACTTTGCATCTTTATCGCCTCATTTACCTTAAAACGGTACCTTTGATAAAACCCTCAAAGGTAATCACGAACTTTTTTTTTTTTTTTTTTTTTTTTT